AATAAAGGGCATCGAGAATTTGAAGTTCCTGTTTATTATTTTCGTGCTGTCTTCAACAAGTATTTTCTCTGTTGTGTTGGTGGACATGAATGTGTTTTTAGATGTCGGACAACAGAACTTATATCTGACAAATGAAATATAGCATCTCTTGATAATGATGTTGCTGTCAAACCAACATATGTCCTTACTTTTTTGTCAGAGATACAATCCCAAAAAGGATATTTAAACTAATATACAATGTTGTTTTGTTCCTAAACACTATTTGTCGGAGAAGAGACATTGCTCACGATTCATTTGGTTGTGTTAAATTTAGTATAATATGTAATTATTTTTTTATTTTCACTTAAACTTATACTATTAGTTTACTTCTTATCTTTAATAGAGGCTAATATTTTGAGACAATGTGCCAGAATAAAGTTGTCTCGAAGACTCTTTCACTCTGCCTGTCCTTTCGAGTCTACCTAATCTTCCATTATTCTGTGATGCTCACAGCCAAAAAGATCAGTGTTAGAACATTAAGCTTGGCTGAACTTTTTTTACTATGACATTCTTAGCCAGGAAATATATCGGTTGCTCTTCGAATCCGATGATGACGTATCGTTTCTGCATCTGATTTGTGAACTCGAAGGTGGCTCCGCAATCCTAGTCTGGAGGCGCAAAGTCTGGAACAGTTGGGACAGTACGTTGTAATCACTGCTGGCGATGTCCTGTGGCTTTGTTTTCCTATGTGGCATGATGTAGAGTCCTGCTGCCAGATATAGGGTCTTCCAGTAGCCACTGTCTTGATCTAGGGTAGCACTACGGCAAGGCACTCGGTCTAGGTCTCCATATTGAGTCTGGGGCTCTCAACAGCACATTGAAAGACCTTTTCTTATCAGAACGATCAGAAACATTTTTCCGTGTTGTTTTACCTTCGTAATCACCATTAGACTCGAACTCGGCTCTCCGATTTCTCAATACGAATCGCTATCCGTTACTCCACCATGCTTAGCAGAAATATAAAAAATGCTAGATGTTGTTTTGTTCCAAAACACTAGTTGACGGAGAAGTGTCATTGTATATGATTCAGTTGTGTTAAATTTAGTATAATATATAAATATTTTTATTTTCAGTTAAATTTACACTATTAGTTTACTTCTTATCTTTAATAGAGACTAATATTTTGAGACACTGTGCCAGAATAAAGTCGTCTGGAAGACTCTTTCACTCTGTCTTTTCGAGTATATCTAATCTTCCCTTATTGTGTCACAAAGATGTGACGATTTAATGTTCGCTGCGTTTCACTAGTGTAATGAATCATCTGCATCTGGAATCATATTCCAGATTCCGCTTTTTTAAAGAAATAGACAATATGAGTTCGCCGTTGCTGAGCAGTAGAGGAAGGTGTATGTGCTCATGTTATAATGTTGGCGGAAAATAAATGAATAAGAATCTGGAGGAGTGGATTAACAGTAACAAGTTCCGTGTGAAGTTAAAGTGCTAGTGAGACGTTAATACTATTAACAATGGCTTATGCTGTGACGAAATGGTTGTTTTTGAGTGGCAAAAATGGTTTCAAGGAAGGATTAGAAGATATTAGCAATAAGCAAAAAGTGAGCAACCGAAACACAAGGAATGTCTGCAAATGTTTGATTGGAACGGATGAATGTGTTGCGAAAATGTCTGGAAAATAAGATCCGAAAAAAATTACAGTAAAAGTTCTTTAATATAAACCACTTCTCTCTTTTTCAGTATATCTCCATTTTTCTCATTATTCTTTTTACTCTCTCTCTCTCTCGGTCTCTCTCCTTCACGCTCTCTTTGTTCTTCTTTTTTCTTTTTTCTCTTTTCTTCCCCAATTTTTACGTTTTTTTTCACTTCTATTTTGTCTCTGTAATATCGATACACATTGCCCTTTGTCTTCTTTTCTTTCTCTCCTCTCTGTTTTCTCTATCTCTTCTGTTTCTCTCTCTCTCTTCTCTTCTCTCTCTCTCAATCTCTCTCTCTCTATCTATCTCTCTCTCTCTCTCTCTCTCTATCTATCTCTCTCTCTCTCTCTCTCTCTCTCTCTATCTATCTATATATCTATCTCTATCTCTCTCTCTCGGTTTCTCTACTGCTTTCCTTTTTCTAAATTTTCACTATCTTCTTTTTTTTCTATCCGCTCTTCTTCTATATTTGATCTTTTCTCAATATGTTTATTTTACATTCCCTCTCACTTCTCTTTTTCACTCTTCTTTGCCAAACAATGTTTCGCTTTAGTTTTTTCATTGATTTTTTTCTTTAACTCCTGAAATATTCGGCACTGAGATCACTCCATTTTTCTATTCCTTCTGTTTTCTTGCTGCTTTTTTCTCTCATTAGCGCCCATCCTTCATCTTCCTACGGTCATGCCGTCCCTTTAAACGCTTAATGTTACCTAACTTTTTTACACTTTTTTTAATCATCAGTTACGGCCAGTCTTACATCACCTTGTATAAAACCTAGATACTTACATTGTGTATTAAACTACACTCACCTCATTTAATTTACATTAAACCGCAGGAAATCCTGTAACAGTCTCATTTAATTTGTTTAATATAATCCAGCAACTCGCTGTGCTATAAAGATACGCTCTCTATAAGATCTCAAACGAACATCTATAAGGACTTATTTCCAGCCATTTCTGTCATTGGTAGCTCTGAAAAGTCCCCCCGCCAAAAGAACATTCCTCTACGCATCATGTGCTAGAAGTTCATTACGTCATCCGCATGGAGTAACACCGTTTGCCATAACGTCTGTAGTACGGAGAGCTTCTGCACGATAAGAGAAACTGAGGCCGTCCAAAGAAGCGGTACAAAGACACTGTGAAAGCAAATTTCCAGGGTTGCAAGCTCAAACCCAAAGAACTAGAGGTGCGAGCCAATGATCGACAACGTTGGTTAATCGCAGTCCATGATGTTGCTGTCACCTTCGAGGATGCTTGACGCCAGAAGCTCACCGCTTGCCAAAGGGCATCCTCAGCAGTGATTACGACAATAGACTTTTAGTGCTCCCACTGTTCCAGACTCTACGCCTCCCGACTAGGGTTGTAAAACCACCGCCGACTTCACAGATGAGAGGCAGAAACGATACTTCATCTTCGGATTCGAAGAACAACTGATATATTTCCTGGCTAAGAATGTCATAACAAAATAAAGTTCACAAGACTTAATGATTTAACACTGATTTTTTGTCTATTTCAGAAACGTAAAAACAAAAAAAAATGGACGAATATATCCTGATATCCCTGACACGTGTTTACATTCTTGTTCTTCTATGTGTCAGCTCAATTCATGGTCATGGCTCTCCACAACCTCTTGCCTTTTGTAGCAGCTTTTCGCAATTTTTGTATTTTTGCTATGTATTCTGTGGAGTAACGGATAGCTGCTCGGATTGAGTAATCGAAGAGCCGAGTTCGAATTCCAGTCGAATTCATTACATTTACTTACATACTAACAACCTTGGGAAAGGTATGAATCCTCTTCTTCTCCTTCAGCTATGGGTAAATAACAGGACAAACCGGGTTCTATATCTTGGTTTACCGTAGAAAGAAATGGCAACCTACTGCAGGAAAAAAATCTGCTTCGTCAGTCATGAATCGAAAGATACATGATCGCCTAAACGTGTATCCCGTATGGTACATAACTAACTGATTCTAATAACTGTTCTGCGAACCATTTACACAAGTTCCTTAGGTAGGTCATGCCCTGCTTTCCTCTGTCCCTCGTACGTTCAATATGTCCTCTGGGTTTCGTTCTATCTAAGGCCCCAATTCCTCATTATGTGCCCTTGAATTTTAAATGTATTTTTCTGATTCTTAGTATAAGTGAACTTTTCTGTTTCATTTTCCTCGTTGTTTGTCATATGTTCTGCCGTTGGCATTCTCAACATCCTTCTGTAGAACCTCATTTCTGTTGCCTCAAGTCTCTTCTTTCGAGGAGATTGTCCAGCATTCAATACCAGATATTAGGATCGAAAATACATAAGAATCCAGTTCTCTTTTCTCGTTTTCTAAAGAGACTATTTTTTTGTTTTTTCAGACTTTGCTTAACTTTTGCAAGGCATCATTCGATATTCAAATGCACCTACGGATTTTTGTTTTGCATTTTCTCTTACAGAAAGGTATTCAGGAAAACGAGTTCCAAGAATATTTCCAGCCATGGCACTATCGTCTCGCGAAGGGAATACCTTCGTCAATCTACGCTATGCACGCCTTTTTAAAGCTTACTGCTCGTGGGTTCGATCTGTACATTAAAAAATAGTGTATTCGTTAAAACAATGATTAAATTAAATACATTCGTCGATGAACGGGAATCTGGTCTTACTGGATATTTCCTGCATATTGACATCGATTATAACAGGTTAGTCAAGACATGTGATGAGCCTTTGTACAGCTCAATAAGTATCTTCCTGTTTTTTAATTAATATTTTTCTTTTCTTTCTTTCTTCGATATGCTCACATGGTGTTTCAACAACAACAATCGAATAGTGAGACCGCTAGAAGCGTGAGGACGCTGATGAGGAGGAATAGTTGTCCCAGCAGGATGCTGCTCCTCTTCACATTGCTAATATTACCATGGTATGGTTGTGTCTCATCAGCCGCAAAGCCGAAGTGGAATGAGCACCTCACTCGCCTGACCTGAACCCCCCTGCCCAGATTTGATCCTCTGGGGGTTCTTCAAAGACAATATTTATCAGTGCAACCTTCACACTATTGCTGCATCGAAGGCAGCCATCACGGGGAAGATTCAAACGATCACCCAGGATGAATGTACACGCGTTATCAAAAACTTAGCATACAACAGTGCCTTCAACTGAACGGCAGACATCTGGAACATGTCCTCTCGGGCTACTATTGACATTTTTGTATCATGTTTGAGACTAAATAGCTGCAGATCTTAAAATGTTATCCTTTTACCTTTCAAGAAATGTAATTTCTATTACTCTATCATCTGTGGTCCTTGATTTTTGCCCATCGTTCTTTTTAAATTGTGAAACAATCTCTATTTGGTCCATTTATGCAATAGTATATTTTGCTTAACTTCTTTTATTTTCATTTTGATATTTCGGTTTTCATTACGTTTCTCTTTTCTTTCTTTCTTAATTTTCTTTCTTTCATTTTTTCTTCCTTTGTTTACTTTTCTTTTTCTTTCTTTAATTCTTTCTTTCTTTCATTCTTTCTTTCTTCCTTTGTTTCTTTTCTTTTTCTTTCCTTAATTTTCTTTCTTTCATTCTTTCTTTCTTCCTTTGTTTACTTTTCTTTTTCTTTCTTTAATTCTTTCTTTCTTTCATTCTTTCTTTCTTCCTTTGTTTACTTTTCTTTTTCTTTCTTTAATTCTTTCTTTCTTTCATTCTTTCTTTCTTCCTTTGTTTTCTTTTCTTTTTCTTTCCTTAATTTTCTTTCTTTCATTCTTTCTTTATTCCTTTGTTTACTTTTCTTTTACTTTCTTTAATTCTTTCTTTCTTTCATTCTTTCTTTATTCCTTTGTTTACTTTTCTTTTTCATTCTTTAATTCTTTTTTCTTTCATTCTTTCTTTCTTCCTTTGTTTCTTTTCTTTTCTTTTTTTTAATTTTCTTTTCTTTCATTCTTTCTTTTCTTCCTTGGTTTACTTTTCTTTTTCTTTCCTTAATTTTCTTTCTTTCATTCTTTCTTTCTATCTTTGTTTACTTTTCTTTTTCTTTCTTTAATTCTTTCTTTCTTTCTTTCATTCTTTCTTTATTTCTTTCTTTGTTCGTTCTTTCTATTCAATGTTTACTCTTTCTCATTTTTCTCGCTTTTCATTGATCTTCAACATCGATGTATTTATTATTTTTCCATTTATTTTCTTTCTCCTCCATCTTTATTCCCTCGCTCTCATCTTTTCTTCCTTTCCCTCCTCTCTCAAATTCTCTTTATTTTCTCTATTGCCTCTTTTTGTACGCTTCCATTTCTCTTGTAGACTCCCTTCTCTCTCTAACACTCTATCTCTCTATCTCTCTCCTGTTTTGTCGTTTCTCTCTTTTCTATCCATCGTTTTTTTCTTTCCATCCTCTTACCTTTATGACATCTCTCTCTTTCTCTCTCTCTCTCTTTCTCTACTATTTTCTTTTTTCTCTTTTCTTTTTCTTCCTAATACTCTCTTCCTCTCTTTTCTCTTCCCCATTTACGTTTTTCTCTTCTTCTATTTTCTCTCTGTATTATCTTCATTAATTTCCCTTTGTTCTCTTTTCTTTCTCTTCTCTCTGTTTTCTCTATCACTTCTATTTCTCTTCGATACCTCCTCCTCTCTCTTTCCATTTCTCTTTCTCTTTCCCTTTTTCTCAATTTTCACTCTCTTCTCTTTTCTCCCCGCTCTTCTTTCTAGATCTCTTCTTTTCTCACTACATTTATTTTACTCTCCCTATCTCTTCTATTTTTCTCTTTACTTTTTCCCTTCTTTACCAAACAATTATTATAATCTGCTTTAGTTTTCTTATTTGAATTTCTTTTTTAACTTCAGAAATATTCCTCACCCGGATCACTCCATTTTTGTATTTCATTCTGTTTTCCTGCTGCCTTTTTGCTAATTAAGCCCATCCTCCATTTTCCTACGACCATAACTTTCCTTTGGCCCATTAATGTTACCTGCGTTCTTTACACCTTTATTTTTATTAACTAATTATATCTATGTTTACCAGAGCCTATCAGTTCCGGCCAACCCTAAATCATCAAGCATAAAACCTGGATTCTTATATCTTATATTAAACCACACTCACCTCATTTAATCAACATTAAACCACTGGAAATCCAATAAAAGTTTCATTAAATTTATTTACTATAAAGCAGCAACCATTGGGCCCTCGCCGTGATGTAAATGTTAGTTGCCTATAAGCTCTTTTTTCAAATCAACACATATGACCACATTTTTCCAACCATATCTGTCATACTTAGCTCTACCCAGTTCTTCTTGTTTTCTAATACCAGTACCATATCTGAGTTGATCGATGAAGGTTTCTATTGGCCAACTTAAACTTTTTATGATAAATTGAAATTCCATATTACAAAACGACTGATTTACTTACCCGACAATGGCCCCATACATAGATACATACAAACATATATAATAGCTAGCTGCTCGTATTCAAGGATACCTGTTTTCCTCAGTAGATCACTCCAGGTACGTTTATGTTGGTTCAATACCCACAGAGCCAACCTGTGGTTTATGCTGCAACTGTGCTAAGCAGATCTTAGTTAGAGTTTCTGGGAGACTCGGAGAGAGCGTGTTATCTTGTATGATCAACAATCTAAACAACACCAGCACACTCAAACACTCGGTCACGATGACTTGTGACTTCATGCTAGCACAACTATCGACGACCCTAAGAGTTCCATCTACCCACTTTCACTCACATGGCTCGGGTAAACCCTTGGTATGGTTTTCTTGTGTTTTGCTGCACACTAGGATCGTCCTCCAGACCGATAACATTCTTCCGGGGGAATCGACCATACTGAGATTCAAACTCGGGTCACATGGTCAGAAAGCTAACGTTCTAACTACTCGGTCACACGCTCATATATATATATATATACAAACATAGATACATACCTATTTTGAGGTGGAGAGGACAGGCGGGAGATACCAAAATCAAACAAGTACCAAAATTAAAATAACTGGAAAGCATGGCAGATTGAATTCTCTATTTTTGGTTGGCAAACAAACTAGGGGAAAGTGAAATGTAGTGAAGGAATACAATAAAAATATGGAAATGAAATGATTTGATTGTTTTTTTTTATATACAGATGCACAATAAAGCATTAAATAAAGAGAAACACATGCCAAAATATAAAGGTATATTTAACTTGATTTTATCATCAATTTGTTATGCTCAGCATACAAACAAGTTTACCTGCAAGGCTCTATGAAGAACTGATAGAGACATTGTTTACTTACACTCTTATCAATAAGTAGCATAATGGTGGTTGATATGAAAAATTGAATCCAGAGTTCAATTTGAGCTGAGGAATTACTTTTGCACTAATACCCTTTTGAAAGGCAGGAATTCATCTCTCCAGCTCTCCAGAAATTCAGAAATGGTTCTTCAACTTTGGAAAGGCAAATAAATGATGAGAAGGAAGACTCTGATTTCAGAACAATGGAGGAGGTAACACTCCAATACATGCACCTCTATCATAAAACACCAGCTGTGGTTTAATAGCATGGTAGACTGGATTCTCTTTCTTTGGTTGGTAAACAGACTAGGAAAAAGTGAAATGTAGTAAAGGAATGTAATAGAAAAATGATTAAATATCAACTGCATGAAGACAGAACATATGTTTGTTAGAAAAAAAAGGTGATATGTCCCTGAAAGGGATATATTTGTTCGAAGTAGCAAAGTGGTTTTAGACTACTGTAACTAAGTCGGACAATCTAGCAGGTAACCGTAATGGATTGGTCCTCGTCGTAATGGTAGGCAATAGGTGAAAACTATAGGCGAAGTCAATAAGCATCCACATCAGTCTGTATTTATGGCTGACACCAGCCAATCATATTATTGTGAGGGGGAACTCAGGTGTATGAATATTCATTACATCAAAAGGTTTAGTCCAAAATGCAAATTACAAATCAGAGATACCAAAATCAAACAAGTACAAAAATTGAAATTTTCTGGGAAGTGTTTGAACAAAGGATAGAAAGTATGACACTGAAATCCAAAGGCGCATTGGGATAGTCAAAGATACATTTCAAAAGCTTGAGAAACAAAGAAAAGAGTGCTGAACTGTTATAGGTCACCTGTCTTACTATATGGTAGTGAATGCTGGACAATCTCTTCAACGATTAAGAAGAGACTTGAAGTAACAGAAATATGTTTCTACAGAAGGATGCTTAGGATACATTAAACTACGGGAAATCCAATAAAAGTTTAATTTAATTTCTTTAATATAAAGCCACAACAACTGGGTACCTCACCATGATATAAATGTTAGCTACCTATAACCTCTTTTTTCAAATCAACACATATGACCCATCTTTCCAATCATATCTGTCAGACATAGCTCTACCCATTTTTTTTTCTAATTCCAGTAGCATCTCGAAGTTGATCGATGAAGGTTTCTGTTGGCCGATTTTTAATCTTCTGTTGGCCGATTCTATGAATTGAAATTCCATATCATATAACCAAAGCAGCAACAATTGGGCGCCTTGTCATGATGTAAATGTTAGCTACCTATAACCTCTTTTTTCAAATCAACACATCTGACTACATCTTTCCATCTTTGTTTTTTGACGGTTCTTGTTCCACTTCTGATTTCTTCCCTGACAATGGCCTCTAAATCAGACGAACCTTTTATTGATTGAGCCCGTTATATTAGACGATGGACTGATTTTTGCTCCCACCCCTTCCGACACACATACATAAACACACATACCTATTGTGACGTAGGGAGGACAGGCAAGGGATACTAAAATCAAACGTGTACTAAAACTAAAGTAACTGGAAAGTCTTCTAACAGAGGACGGAATGTGTGACACTGAAATCCGAAGAGTCAGTGGGATAGTCAAAGATGTATTTCAAAAACTAAGTAGTATATTAATAGACAGAAAAGCCCTCCTTAGAAACAAAGAAAAGAGGACTGAACTGTTATATAGCATCTGTCTTATATGGCAGTGAATACTGGACAATCTCTTCAACGATTAAGAAGGGACTTGAAGTAATAGAAATATGGTTCTACAGAAGGATGCTGAGGATATCATAGATCAAACATGTGAGCATCGACGAGGTTTCAGACGAAATGGATACAAAAAGTAAACTTATACTTAACATGAGGAAGAATTAAATTTTGGGGGACACATAATAAGGAAAGAGAATTTGGAAAAACTGACCCTCACAAAACAGATTGAGGGACGGAAGAAAACAGCGCACAACATACTTGATGGACATGAGTGAATCACGGTTTAGAAAAAATAGCCAAACGACAAATTTTATTAAGGGACAGAAAATTTTGGACGGCTGTGATCGCCTACGTCCTGAGGAGGCACAGCATAAATAAGTAGTCCGTTCCATTAAGTCCGTTCCTGTATAATTTACGTCTGAATTAAATGTTATTATTCACATATTTCTGCAATGGGATGTTATTATTTACATTATTTACATGCCGACGATTATCCTCTCCATTGTTGTTTTTATCACAACATTTCGGCCGTTGTTCCTTCCGTCCTTCATCAGGCGTATATAGATCCGGGGGAACCAACAGGGAATTCTGTACTGAAACCTTCATCTAATCTATGAGAGTAGACAGTTCTCGTCCACTGCTGATGTCTAGGTATATCTTTTTTTTTTTAGTACTGCTTAGTTATTACACGCCCTGTTTAACCAGAGTCCAATACACACAGCCCGACCCAGTGGATTAAACCGTTGGTATGTAAATTTGGGGACATAGTATTCGTGAGTTCAATCCATGGGCCAGGAAGTGGAAAGAGGATGAGCAATGGTATT